TATGGGTCACACACATAGAAGACAATTTAAGATCTAAGAAGAAAGAAGCATTTTCGTCTTTTAAGGTGAAAGGGGTATTTTGGTAATTTCACAGTGCAATTAAATTTGCTGAGGTCGTAGCCTTTATTTAATTTGTTAGAAAAATTAAATAAGTGAAATTACGTTTAAATGTGTGTTCGCACATATTTAAATATATTATCATTATTGTTAAATGTTAATATATATATATATATATATTAATTGATTTTAATTGAGATAATGATGGAAAATAAAATAAATCAAGTTGGGAGTGTTTGGCAACATGGGGCGTTTGGGTTGAAGCCCAAGCCTATTCCGTATGGGATTAGGGCAAATTTGTTTTACTATAAAAAGAAAAGTGTGTTAATTAATAAAAACATATTTTTTTCTTGTAAAACAAAAACACACAGCCCCCATTTGACACTCCCACGCCAGAAACCTTTCTTTGGCCTAAATCAATTCGATTTGATTTCTTTTTCTTCTAATCTTAAAGCCAAAAAGGATCTAGCAAATACCTCTTTGGTTCTTTTGAGATTGTCTTCGTGTGACTACTGGGTTCGATCCTACACTTGGATCAGTAGCAAAAACGTTCAAAGACAATCGTGGTGGAGCCTCCAAACGTACGTATGGTTTCTAAACACAGATTATTATTTCTGCAGATTCTTGCTTTAATATGAATTGTAAAATTTACCCTTGATCTTGGCTCATGTAAACGATCCTGTTATGTTAATTTTTTGTTTCCGCTACGTATACGGGATCGTTTACTAACAAGGACAGCCCTCATTTCATCTCTACAACCATAATCATTATCACCTGTGAACTTCTCTACTTCAAACTTAGACATTTCTAGGCTTACAACCCTTACAGTTACTAGGAGATGAAAAACCTAAAAGTTCAAGATCTAGAAAACCCTAAATCAAGACTCCCGTAACTAAACAGTTTGAATCTAACCCTAAACAAACCCAAATTCAAACAATCTATAATTCCCAGACCTATACTAGCTTTGATACCACTTGTTAAGCTTAAAGAGTATTCGAACAAGAAATCCTAAGTTCTCAATCAAGCAATATTCATAGTATTTAGAAGAGAAATAATAAGAGCATAAACAAAAAAAAAGAACACACAACAATTATAGTGGTTTGGTAATCAGTTGATTACCTACATCCACTCTTCAAGGCAGTAGGAATTCATACACTATATGAAAGAAAATCTTACAAAGCTTGCAGATTATATTTACAAGATAGATTCCGAGGAAAACCCTCTGTAATTACACCCGAAACAGACCCAAAAGTGCCTCACCTCTCATGTCAAATACAAAGCATTAATCAGCAATTATACACAAGAAAGGGAATAAAAACAGTTCTACTAGGCTCACCACCATCGTTGATTTTATCCTGCGAACATCAATGCTCCACCTTGACAATTTCTTCAACTAACTTTCTCTCTCTGTAACCAAGAGAGAACAATCGGGAAGAAGAATAGAAGATTTTGGTCTAAACCAATTTAGGTCGCCAAACAAATATCCTAATGGGATATTAAGTTATCCCTTTCTTCCTTCAAATTGCCTCTGACCAAACATATAAAAGTTTGACTCCACATAGGCACAATTCAGGTGCCACATCAGCACAGTTTGGTTTATGATCTGAAAATATTTTTAAAAACTGAAATACAATTATACTTTTGAGTCATATCTTAGTATTTTAAGCCCTCGTACCCATCCTGATGCCAAGGACAAAATTTTCCCCACTTTCAATCCCAATCTTGGAATTTTCCAAATAATCCACATCCAATCTGAGACAAGTTTCTCTGGATACCCAACCTTGCCGGTTTTATTGTCATCTATAGATGAAACAAATGTATAGAGCACAACAAGGTCATGTCAATGCATGATTATAATCTTACAAGCATACGCTGCACCATATTCAACTAAAATTTTCTGATCATTTTTATTTTTTTTAATCTAGCCAACTTTTGCCTTCAAAATTTGGTATGAATCTCTTAACTCGTTTAAATAACACAAAATTAATTGAATATAAACAATGATTCATCACATTTGTAATTATTATTTAATAACCCAAATTAATTGATTTAAAAAAGAATCCATCTTGGCATTATATTCATCAAATTTGTGATCATATTTTGCTTTGGTTTGATCATTTTAAACTTTGTAGATGATATTGTTGGAGATATATTGTATTATATCTCTTTGCTCAAATAACCATTGCGTTTGTATACCATTTTGAATATATGAAACATTTCAAAGCACAACTTTTAGAAGGCCTTTTGGGAAATAAATTATTTTACAAAAATATTTAAATAGAATATATGCATGTAACACTATATATCATGTCAATGTATGTTTTCGTACACTATGACAATTTTCCTTTTCTATGTTACCTTGCCTTGATCTCGTGTACAATTTTTCACTTTCAAGGCGAGATGAATTCCTAATCATCATCTATGTTCTTCCATGGGGATCTCACTCCTCTCCGACTTCATTACGGATGTCTAAATTTAACTTCAAAACCTAAATTTTTAATTCAAAAATAAGAATCTTTGATTGGCAAAAATTTAGCAGGTTAATATGTAATTCGCTAAGGTACTACAAGGGAAAAATATGTAATCAATTATGTTATTTAAATTAATTATTTCTCTGACTTCGTTTAAATAACACAAAATTAATTGAATATAGAAGTTAAATCATTACGATCCATCAATTTTTATTAATTAATTGGATATTAAAAAAAAAAATCCTCTTCCCTTATTATTCAAAAATTTTAATGCTTTTTTAACAACTCTTGATAAATCTTAAAAAATAAATAATGATAAAAAAAAAAAGGGGAAAAGAAAATTATAAAGTTTACATATAAAGCTAAAATTTCATCCTATAAAAACCATTTTTTTGTGCCCCCCTTATTCAGAAATCTTATCCCCTTACTGCAATTTCATACCTACATTTATTTTATTGATCTCCCACAATTATTAAATATAACACTCTGACCCCTTCAAACATAATTTTCTGGTTTCGCTATTCATTAAGCAAATTGATTAGGGTGATTTCCCCTTACCTTGCAGTTGTTTGCAACCAAGAAAACAACCGTTTTGACACATGGGTATTGTTGCACCGCCTACTTTCATGCACATTGGCATGCAATCTGTTATGCAAGCTTCGTCTTCTCCGTCTCCATGACCATGAACCACCTCCATGTATAAGAATTCTCCAAAGATTATCAGTATTATTGCCACTAAAATTTTGAGTTTCATCTTCATGTGATTGCAAGATTAATTCTTTGCATCTACGGATATACGATATATATTTGCATTGTGAAATAGTAAGAGCCTCTCATTTGAAAGAGTCTGCAGTGATTCAAGGTTTACCTTAAGTATTGAAAAATGATAGGATCAAAGTTTATCGTCAGTTTGAGTTTATGATTTAAAAATAATTTTTAAAAACTGAAATATGATTATAATTTGAGTGGTACCTTAATATTTTTTATATTTGATATAATATTCAAGGTCTATTTTTATATGTAAAAGTCTTTTCTTTTTTAACACTAATTTTAGAATTATATCTGAAAACTATAAGAAAGCACTCTTTCATAACATTTTTTTTTTTCTTTATTTATAAAACAAAAAAAAAAAAAAGATACATATTTTTATTAAAGTGGGTATTAATTAATACTTAAACGCAATAATGCACATTGACCTTGTGCAAATACAATTTTAAACTAATTATTTAGTTGATAATTAGAGTCATTAAATTGAGAATATCTCCACATGTTCATTTCAAAATCGCTCAAATACTTTTTTTTTTATTTTCTAAAGTAAATTTCCATTGACTTCTTCTAAGATTTGACTAACATATAGAAGACTCCACTGCTTTTATCGTTATTAAAAAGGGCCTATTATTAAATTAATAGAATCATCAAATTATCTTTTAATACGATCATATGAGATTCATGATCTTTGCATAAAAGTTGATAAAATCTATGATGACACTTTACAAGAAAGGTCTATCTATAACTCAATGAAGTTAAGGAATTTATTTAATTTTTTTTTTTTTAAATCAAAACCACAAAGGGATAATTTAACACATACCCTATAGTTTTACTATAACCTTCTATATAGTTATAGCTAACTTTTAAAGTTTTTTTGATTGTCGTGACCTTCTTTCTTAAGAAAATTTTAAAATAATTGAACAAAAAATACAATATATGACACAAAATGAATGAAACAGTAAATACATGAATTTGCATTACTCTTAATCAAGTTTCATAATAAGTTAGGGATATCAAAGAGCACTCGATAATTTATGATTGTATTAACATGTGCCTTCGGGTCATATATTAAGAACATTAGAAGAACAAAAATCTAGCATATCAATATATCAAAAAATTTATGTGTGTGTGTGTGTTATTTAATAACATTCATCGAAATAAGTAATTTTTTGTGTTCTAATATCCTTAAACATATACCCTTAAAACACACATTAATACAACTCATAATTTGTAGTCTCTTACATTTTAACTTCCTCTGAGATTTTTTTTATTTTACGCTAACCTCTCATTTGTTAAGAGAAATTAACGATAACTAAATTAAATATAATATATGACACAAAATAACCGAAAGAATATATAACTTTATACTCGAGTTTGCATTACTCTTAATCGACTTTCGAGACAGATCAACTATATGTAAAAAAATAACTAATAAATAAATGTAGTTATTCTTAATTTTACAATTATTTGGTTTGTATTTATGATTACTCCAAACTAAGTAGATATGAGCAAATGTTTACTACATTTTCCCCTTCATGTAATATATTTTACACTTATTCTGTTAAATTAAACATTAAATCAACGGTGGTAAACTATTATTTGCCGATAACTAAGTCAAAAAATTGAAATAAATTATATTAACGTATTAAAAAATTAAAAAATTAAAACCTTTAACTTAAAGACAACACAAAGCCACAACCCACAAGAAGACAAAGACACAACAGCAAATTCAAAACTCGAAAACTCAAAGATTTGGACTCTGGAACACCCTCACCACCCCCAACAAAAATGGTGTTCAACAGCCTGGCAGTGTTAACAGTAGCCCACGTTTCAGCCGACGCATGGCAATCAGCTTCATGCATACCAACTCAGGAGCGACTCAGCAGCCAGCAGCTATTAGATCTTGTGTGTTGTTTGCCTTTACAGCAACTGGGTCGTTTTGCCCTTTGTCTTTGGACCTTTCTGTGCCTTCCTCCTCCTGACTCTTTCTACTCTTACTCCACTTACTATGACTCTTCTGACTCTGACTATTATGTTGATGATCATGGTGATGGCGCTTCTTCATCCTCCACCGTTGATCTTGATGACTACTACTATCACCCCCATTCTGATTGATCATGTGAGTTGCCCAAATTTTAAGTCTTTTACAGAAAGATTTTGACTTTATTGAGTGTTGTGTTTTTTTTATTGATGGGTTGTCTCACAATACTTGCATGTAGTTGACTTTAGTCTCTTTTGGTTCTAATTTTTATGCATCAGATAATTTTTGTCAATGAGAATTTCATTTTTTTGTATTTTCTTTTCTTTTGATAAATTTAATGTTGATATGTTGCATGTTGAATATTTTATGTGATTTGATTGCCAATAGTTGCATAAAAGGTTGACTCTAGTATTTGTGTCAATTTGTTCTAATGTTATCATTTTGGGGAAATTTCTTAAATTTTACCGGTGGTCCAGTATCATATGCAGGATATGGTTTTTGTCTAAACTAATCTTGATACATTCTGATTGATCGTGTAAGTTATTGAAATTCAAGTCTTTTTCAGAAATCATTTGACTTTATTGATTGTTGTGTTTTTTTTATTGATGGGTTGTTTACAATACTTGCATGTAGTTGACTTTAGTCTCCATTGCTTCTAATTGTTATCATTTTGGAGAAATTTCTTACAGGTATCATTTGCATCAGATAATTTTTGTTTGTAAGCTTTTCATGTTTTTGTTTTTCCCCTTTTTTTTTTTTTTTTTTTATAAGTGTAATGTTGATATGTTGCATGCTGGGTATTTTATGTAATTTGGCCCAATACTTACATTTAGTTACTCAAATTCATGTCTTTTGCAGAAAGCTTTTCAATTTACTGAGTGTTCTTGTGTGATTTTGATTGATGGATTGTTTCACAATACTTGCGCATGGTGTTTACTTTACTTGTAGTGTGCATTTGTTGTAATTGTATTCATTTTAGGGAGAAACCAGTATTTTTTGCATCAGTTTGGTAACCTTTTAATGTCAATATGTTTCTTATTGATTGTTTTATGTGATTTGATTATGGATTGTTTTCACAATACTTGCATGTAGTTGACTCTAGTGTTTTTGTCTATTTGTTGTAATGTTATCATTTTGGAAATTATTTTCTTACCTGTATCATTTTCATGAGATTTTTTTTGTCTAAATTTAATTTTAACATATTGCTTTTTGAAAGAGTATTGACTCTGATGTGATTGACGGGTTGTTTCACCACATACACTTGCATGTAGAGTAGATTTTAGGCTGTTTCTGTGTTGTGAGTGTTATCATTTTGGAGAAATTTGTGTATGACCGTGTAAGTTAATTCTTGTACAGTAAGTGTTTGTGTTGATTGCATGAGATGAATTTTTGTTTAAATTACATGTTGATTTGTGGTTTATTGAATGTTAAGTTTTATGTGATTGATTGATGTGTTGTTTCACAATATATACTTGCATGTCGTGTTGACTATAGTCTGTTTATGTCATTGTTATCATATCGGGGAAATTGAAAATCTGTAATCATACATTACCAGTATCTTAGAATGACTTCATTGGAGGCTTTAAATGGAGCATGCATGATAAGAATCATTGCTTGGAAGTCCATTGATATACGAAAGTTGATTTGTATTATTAGTATTTAGAGAGTATTAGCGTATTGGAGATAGTTAGTTTAATGATATAGTCTTTGTGAAACTCGTATGTACATAAAGATCAAGTGAAGCAAAACTTTTCTATATGAGGTTTTGATGAGCAACCAAGGGGAATGGTCTACCGTAGGAAGAAGAGTGGTGAGAAGCAGGGGAATATTGGTTAGGCAGGAGGTTAGAGTTTTTTAGGAGGGGACAGGTGGCTTGGTAGGAGTAGGAGAGCAGAGAATTCTGTTAGAAATCAAAAGGTTGTCAGGAGAGAATAAAAAGGGCAGGAATGAAAGAGAGGGTATTGAGAATTATTAAGTCATTTTGGAAGGGAGGCTGCTGACCCTCGAATTCAGTCTTATGTTTACCATTTTCTTAGTATACTTTGTTATTTTCTCTGTGTAATTGCTCTTCGAGTATTGATAGGACATTGCTGCTGTGTGAATCTTTTCTAGATGTAATGTTCTGTGTGATTGGTAATACAACAGAGTATTTTCTCATTTGAGTGTACGTATTAGCTATGTTGTGGATAGATTGTTGGTTTTGTTGTGGATTTGCAGGTTGGGTGTTCATCAGTGGTATCAGAGCATTGCGTTCTGGGTTATGGTATTGACAAGAATGGACTCTAGACTGGATAATGTGGAAAGAGAGGTTACGAAGTTGGGAGTGGAGATGGGTACTATTCGAGAGTGTCTGGTTGAAATACAGTCCTGGGTGCGAAGAAAGGATGAAGAAGAAGCTGGTAGAACCAAGATGCGTTCATCTGAAAATGCCGGATCTCACCAAGAGGAAAATCCAAATGGGGCGCGTAGGTCTGGCACCAGTAACCAAAGTCACAGTGAAATGAGTGGGAGAAAATTGGAGATGCCAATATTTTTCGGCGAAGATCCTTATGGATGGATCTTTAGAGTTGAGCGCTATTTTCAATGGAATAACTGAGGAAGGGAAATTAACGGCTGTAGCTGTCTGTATGAAGGGTGAAGCCATCAACTGGTTCCAATGGACGGAATCCAGAACTCCGGTGACGTCGTGGGCCATGTTTAAGCTAGCACTCCTTCAAAGGTTTAGTGGGTCCTAAGAACTCAATCCCTATGAGTCTTTAATGGCCATGAAGCAGACTGGGTCAGTAATGGAGTTTCGACGTCAGTTTGAAGCTATCGCTGCTCTTCTAGTAGGGGAGAAGGAGGAGATTTTACAAGCAGCCTTTATCAATGGGCTGAAAGTGGAAGTGAGGGTTGAAGTCTGTTTAGCCCAGCCCACATCTTTAACTCAAATTATTGATCTGGCCCAACGCATTGAGGAAAGAAATAACATGATTGAAGAAGCCCAAGTGGGGACAATTAGACATTCACGTGCTAATGGGCCTGGGTCTTCCTATGGATCCAGAAAGTTGACCCGACCCGAAACTTACCCAAACCCAAAATTCCCAAATAACGCAGAATCCCTAAAATCAAATCCTAATTCCTATTTCCTTCGACGATCGCCAGAATCATCAATCCATGGCTCGTCGACCAACTCTTCCAGTCGCGACCAACCACCTTCGTCCTTTCGGCCCTTCGAACGATCAAACTCTCAACGACGCGAGTTCCCATTCCGTCTAATGACAGATGCGGAAATCCAAAAGAAAAAGGAGAGAGGTCTTTGCTTCAGATGTGATGGTAAGTTTTCATTTGGTCACAAATGTGGGGAAAAGTAGTTTTAGATTATCTTAATTGATGAAGAGGAGGATGACCCAGATCCAAGTGGTGGAGGGGAGTCCATCGAATCTGGAATGGAGCCACAGCGGGAACAGGTTGAGCTTTCTCTTAGCTCCGTTGTGGGAATTCACGGTCCAAAGACCATGAAGCGCAAGGGCAGAATCCGTGGTAAGGAGCTGATTGTGTTGATTGATAGTGGGGCTTCCCTCAATTTTATTAGTTCAAAGGTGGTGGAGTGTTTGGGTATTTCTGTGGTGGGAACTCAGTCCTTTGGGGTCCGAGTTGATGATGGGTATAGTGTGAGATGTGAGGGAGAATGTAGAGATGTTTGCCTGGAGCTACAAGGGGTGACGATTATCCAAAATTTCTTTCCATTTGATATGAGCAGTGCTGATGTTGTTTTGGGGATTGCATGGCTGGAAACTTTGGGTGAAACGACCACGGACTAGAGGAAGCAAACTATGAGGTTTAAACTGGGAGACCAGATTGTGTGTTTGCGAGGGGACCCATCTCTCAGGAAAACCGTGATTTCACTCAAGGCTATGATCAAGGCATTGCAGAGTGAGGGATAGAGGTGTTTGATAGAGTTTGAACAGATTCAGAAACAGAGTGATAATAATGGGGATGTGGATGATCAGTTGTTGGAAGTATTACAGAAATTTAGTAGAGTTTTTTATCCACTTCCTGGATTACCACCCGCCAGAACCAGAGACCATGCCATTCAGTTAGTGCCAGGGACCCAACCACCGAATCTCCGACCTTATAGGTACCCTTACTACCAAAAAAACGAAATACAGCACATCGTCGAGGAAATGCTAGCTTCAGGAATAATAAAGCCCAGCATCAGTCCATTCTCAAGTCCAGTTTTGTTGGTGAAGAAAAAAGATGGGGGGTGGAGATTCTGTGTTGATTATAGGGCAGTTAACAAAGTGACGGTTCCGGATAAGTTTCCGATTCCAGCCATCGACGAATTATTTGATGAGTTAGACGGTGCGACGGAATTTTCTAAGCTTGATTTGAAATCGGGCTATCACCAAATCCGAGTTAAACCAGAGGACACCCTTAAAACGGCTTTCCGGACGCACGAAGGGCACTATGAGCTTATGGTAATGTCCTTCGGCCTCACCAATGCACCGGCTACCTTCCAAGCAGTCATGAATGACGTTTTCAAGCCTTATCTCAGGAAATTTTTGTTGGTTTTCTTTGACGATATACTGATATATAGCAAGGAGATGGGCGAGCACGCGAAGCATCTACGCATTACCTTGCAGGTGCTCTTAGACAATCAGTTGGTGGTCAATAAAAAAAAGTGTCACTTTGGGCAGTCACAATTGGAATATTTGGGGCATGTGGTTTCAGCTAAAGGGGTGTCCATTGACCCTTCAAAGATTGAGAGTATTATCAAATGGCCAACACCGAGAGATATCAGGGCACTAAGAGGGTTCCTTGGGCTGACAGGATACTATCGCCGATTTGTTCGCGATTACGGAAAAATCGCCCTTCCACTCACTGCCTTGTTAAAGAATAACTCGTTTGTGTGGAATGCAGCAGCTCAAACGGCTTTTGACGAACTAAAACAGATAATGACTAGTGTTCCAGTTCTCCGGATGCCTAACTTCACTCAAGAGTTTGTCATAGAAACCGATGCTTCCGGAAGTGGGTTGGGTGCGGTGCTAAGGTAAGAAGGACGACCGATTGCTTTTCTCAGCAAAGGTTTGTCCCTAAATTCAAAGCTGAAGTCAGTCTATGAAAGGGAATTAATGGCTGCAGTTCTGGCGGTTCAAAAGTGGCGCCATTATTTGTTGGGTAGACGTTTTGTGATTCGAACGGATCAGCGCAGTCTTCATTTTCTAACTGATCAGAAATTATTGAGTGAGAATCAGCAGAAATGGGTTATCAAGTTGCTGGGTTTGGACTTCATAATTCAGTATAAACCAGGACCACAGAACAAGGCAGCAGATGCTCTTTCTAGGATGCCAGACGTGGTAGACCTTTATGCTATCTCGGTGGGCTGTTTTTCTGGACTGGACAGTTTGGAAGATGCTATTCAGAGTGATGATAGATTACGCGGGATCATGCAACAGCTCCTAATCAACCCCAACAGTCATTATCCCTTCAGATTGGTGGGCCTCCATCTGCTGTACCATAACAGGTTGGTGCTACCTAAATCCGGGCCTCACACCTAGAAAATTTTACAGGAATTTCATGCATCGCCCATTAGGGGCCATTCGGGGTTCTTTTGGACGTATAAGCATCTCACAAATGTGGTATTTTGGGAGGGGATGAAACACGACATCAAAGCATTTGTGGCTGCTTGCCCTGTGTGCCAACAGAATAAATATGACGCCATGAGTCCAGCGGGTTTGCTTTAGCCGTTACCCATCCCTCACCAAGTGTGGGAAGACATTTCTATGAACTTCATCATGGGCCTCCCCAAAGCTAAAGGGGTTGATACAATTTTGGTAGTTGTGGATCGTCTGACTAAATATAGCCATTTTTTACCTCTCAAACATCCGTACACAGCCAAAGTGGTAGCGGATCTGTTTATCAAAGAAGTGGTTCGCTTGCATGGGTTTCCCCGTACCATTGTTTCCGATCGGGATAGGATTTTCATGAGAAACTTTTGGAGCGAATTATTTAAACAATCGGGCACCCACTTACACGAGTTCCGCATACCATCCACAGACAGATGGTCAGACAGAGGTAGTAAACCATTGCCTAGAGACTTATCTCCGATGATTTGTCAGTGGACAACCACAGTTATGGCCTTAATGGATTCCATGGGCGGAATTTTGGTTCAAAACTACTTATAACCGCTCCACAGGAATGTGTCCTTTTAAGGCCCTCTATGGCCGTGATCCACCCACAGTTTTGCATTATTCGGACCACACCTCTTTAGTCGACGAAGTGGACCAGCAACTTCAGCAACGCAACAGTGTTTTAGATGAGTTAAAAGAGCATCTCCTCAAGGCTCAACACCGCATGAAATCTTATGATGATCAACATCGCCGGGACGTTACGTTTGAGGTTGGGGACTCTGTTTATTTAAAGTTGCAGCCATACAGATTGCGATCTCTCGCTCGTCGACTTAATGAGAAACTTAGCCCGCGGTTTTACGGTTCATTTGTCATCACGGACAGAATTGGGGCAGTTGCATACTGGCTGGCACTCCCACCCTCAGCTCGTATTCATGATGTTTTTCATGTTTCACAATTGAAAAAAGCAACCTTTCCAATTCCCAACAGTCAACCCCTACCGACAGATCTCAACGAAGATCTCATATTACAGCTTGAACCGGAAGCAGTACTCAAGAAGAGGAAACTTCTTAATGGATAGTGGGAAGTGCTCATTCAATGGAAAGGCCTTCCCCCATTTGAAAACACTTGGGAAGACTTTGAAACTATCCGTGGTCAGTTTCCTTCTTTCCACCTTGAGGACAAGGTGGTGGTTCTTCTTGGGGAGGGTAATGATGAGCAACCAAGGGGAATGGTCTACCGTACGAAGAAGAGTGGTGAGAAGCAGGGGAATATTGGTTAGGCAAGAGGTTAGAGTTTGTTAGGAGGGGACAGGTGGCTTGGTAGTAGGAGAGAAGAGAATTCTGCTAGAAATCAAAAGGTGTCAGGAGAGAATAAAAAGGGCAGGAACGAAAGAGAGGGTATTGAGAATTATTAAGTCATTTTGGAAGGGAAGCTGCTGACCCTCGAAGTTAGTAAATGTGGAGGTGGTTGACCCTCGAAGTCAGTCTTATGTTTACCATTTTCTTAGTATATTTTGTTATTTTCTCTGTGTAATTGCTCTCTGAGTATTGATAGGACATTGCTGCTGTGTGAATCTTTTCTGGATGTAATGTTCTGTGTGATTGGCAATACAACAGAGTATTTTCTCATTTGAGTGTGCGTATTAGCTATGTTGTGGATAGATTGTTGGTTTTGTTGTGGATTTGCAGGTTGGGTGTTCATCAGGTTTGCATAATTTTTTCTAAGGTTTGTCGGAAAACTTGGTATTTCTTAACAGCTAGTTGTAAATTATTGAGTGAAGATAATCGCCTAATAAAATGTTGCTTTGCTAAGTCATATCCTGTCCATGGACCTCATATTAACAGATCTTTTGTGAGTTCAGTTGAAATTGGAATTAGAGAAGATAATCAATTTAATTGTTTAATGGTACAGAAGAAAGAGAAAGGAAATCTCATCATTTTATGATGGATAAAATAGTCGTAAGGGCTCAATTTGTGCTTTGCATGACATCTTAAAGGAGATTTTTTTCTATTATTTGATGAGACACGCATAAGTTTGTCCTATGTGGTACGTGCACTAGGACCTTTAAGGTTATATGAAAGGGAAGACATTTATGTCTTCAGCATGGTAACATGGAGAATAATTTGGCTAATGTTCTTTGACTGGGCAAACCTAAAGCCTTTTTTATGCTTTTGAACATGAAAACCTTTCTCCTTCCATCTACAGATGCAGCAGTCTAGAATTTGACCTCAGTTTCAGTTTGATATGTACCCGGCAGGAAGTATTTTACATGACCTAAGACTTGAGTCTTTAGTTAAAATACGAATCCTCAGACGTTGCGTGTTTGCATGAACTCAAGAAAATGAGGAGTTGTAAGTTGAGGTACAAACAGAATAGAAGAGCTTCTTTCAAGAAAACTTATCAGTAACCTCAACCCTGTGGAAAAACTAGGATAGTAAATTGTGAATTGTTTACAATGTGCACAATAGAGTCCACTAATAATGGCAATGATAATTAGCTTGACGCAAGTATAACTTTGTTAGTGAAGCTGGGGGAAATGGCGAAAGTGGAGTAGTATTCAGTTTGTTTGTTGGGATATCGGTTCATAAATCCTTTGAAGTGAGTGTGCTCTTAGTGGTTGAGATGTCATATGTCATGGCTTCCAAAAATCAAGCAAAAAGATACAAAGCATCACAATGCTAATACACTCTGCATTAGTGGATTTTGTTCTTTCGTCTTAGAAACTTTTTTCTATGGATTCCTAAATGTGTATAAAGTGAAGAAAAGATTATAATAGAAGTTGCTCATTACCTAATTAATATGCAAATTAACATTCTATGCCACTTTATGGGATGTAGGATTGTAGATTTCTTTTGGGGTAAATCTACATTGTGCGATTTACAGAATTTGTCATTAAAGTAATCCCTTGTATTATATGAAGAAGCTTTTCAAAGTTTCCGTTTTTTTATTACAAAGCATAGTTGAGATTGTTAAAATTTAATAACCTTTTTCCAGTTGCATCTCGAACCGTTAACATTACTGGTTTCTCCTGGATTGTTGCCTCTTTAGAAGAGGCTGGCCTGGGAAGTTGATATATGCTTAGCATTTATAAATCTTCTTAAACTGCTTCAGATATTAGTGCAGTTCTTCTTATTTTACTTATTTAGGCAATTGTTGATGGAGTTCTATATTTCTTTTGTTGGAATTTTCAGGAAGATGGTTTCTTGGATAGCCTTTTGGCTGTGTAACAGTGTTAGAGCTTAATTGGAAGCCTTCAGGAGGAGATGATTGCTCAGCTAGTTTAGGCATCTTGGCTAGTCATTTTAAGGGTCAATTCAATGAGGGGAGGAAAGTTTCTTTGGCAGTAAGATAACTTGGAGAACTCTGTTCTGAGTTAGCTTCCCTTCTATGTTTCACGGTGTGTTTTGGGAGTATTATATCCCTACAGCTGAGCCTCTGATCTCTAGAAATTTGATTCTGGTATGATTATATCTGCAAATCATGACAAATTTGCAATTCATACTAGAAAAAGTATATGTGAATATTACATTTCAGGTTTTTTGCTTGGATTACTTTGTTTGAAGTAGTTACATCTAAAATCATGTAACATTCGCCCCCCTTACACGTGTAAAGTACCTCTTGTCTTTAATGAGAATTATTGTTATCTTTCCTCATATACAATTCTGTACTTGTATAGCCTCCACGCAATACAGCTTGTCAAAAATGCTATTGTTTCATTTTAAGTAATGAAGTGATTTCATCGATGATGCTATCCCCAGTTTCTCATAGTTTCCAGTGCTTTAATTAGCAGCACATTAGGTCCTGGATAATATAAGCCACTGGTAGATAATTGCTCATTCTGTAAATATTGGTGTGTTGTTTTTGTTGCATTAAGAGGCTGTGAATTCCTTGAATTACTAAAAATTAGGAATTCTCCATAAATGTAGAAAGAAAGAAGTTTGGCATGTATCTATGCATGTGTATGTATGATATATGTATGGTATATGTGTATGTATGATATACTAAATCTTTCCTTGATATCATGCACGAATGGCCTATGTATGGTATATTGAATAAACAAGAATATGCCAAATGCATCTTTATATTGCATGATACAGATGATCTAGGATGGCGTTTGAGTAATCAAGTATTAATCTTCATCAGTTTGTGTCTTATTTCTGGCTAAATGGAAAAGGGAAATGCAATAATAAAGAGTTATTACTTTTATTCTTCTTAGTTGTTTTTGCTGATTTCGGGACTCTTTTACAATGTCCTGATTACTATATATTGAGTTTTGAGTTTTTTGTCTATTGAGTTGTCCTAACCCATACATGTGTAAATATATATTGTGGACAGTTAATCCTTCTTCCATCAATATAATCTTTTTAGTTTCGTACCAAGAAAAAAATAATATGGGTTATTACTGTGGTCATCATGCTTCCCCAAATTCCATGGTGTATATGCATGCTTATGCCTAAATAGTTATGTGTAGTTCACATTTCTGTGGAATGTTAATCTTTAAGAACTTTTCATGTGCATTGATATTTGTCAGACTATTCAGCTGTAGCTCCAAGTAACCTGCAAGGATACCTATTTTGTCAGATATTAGATTCTATTATATGATCTTCATTTACCAACTTACCATGTTCAATTTGCTGGTGAAGCTTAGTCACTGTCAACTTCTCAGCTTCTAGTCCTTTTATTTTTACTACTTATGTCATGTTGCATGGTATTCTTCAATAAGAAATTGATGCATGGAGATTTGCTAGTTTGGGATGATTGTCACATTTGGGACCTTTTCCTTTTCCAGTTTTAAGTTGTCCGAAGATTAACCAATATTTTCCATGACCTGCAGACTTGGTTGTTTTCTCTTTTTCAATGAAAATGCCTTACTGTGAGCCTGTGGTTGATGTTTAGGGATGCCAATACCTCGTGGGCATATGCAGATATGCTCATACAGAAATTGTTCTTCAGGTGCTGTTTGTGTGGGCAGCGTCAAAATGCCTACTCTCACTGAAAATTTCCGAAAAGTTTGATAAAAAAGGTTTTGTAGACCACATTAATCAGAAAGAAGGTTTGTATCAGGAATTGGTTTTCGAATTATAAAAACTAGAGGCACAATTTTCGGAAGTTATTGGAGGTAAGATGCTATTTATTAGTTGATTTCTAATTGTTTTTGGTCAATGGTAGGCTGAATTGCATATGAATCTGCCATCCTGCCTAACTCGCATGAACTACAAATCAACGTTGGACTCTAAATTAGGTAATTTGCACGTATAGTTTTCAGTCATTGTGTCAACATATTGCCCTTGATTCAATAGAACATGAAAGGATCACATTTTCTGCAGTCTTTATCCACACTTTTAGCTCCTGGTCCTCGTCACCTCATATCAATCCACAGGATACCTGTGAAGCACTAGCTTTTACTTTTATTGAAAGCTACATTTTATTTTATGCATGATTTGATATTGTGAATTTGATTCTATTTCAGTTTTTATTTTATGCTGATTCTAGATGATAGCTTTTTAATATGCTAAAGACTGTTGATAACATTAGCTTCCTTCTCTGAGAAACCAGTACATGGCTATATTTTACTTTGAACTAATCATCCCACTTTGAGATTTACCGGTAATGTTGTACAGGAACTTCATGAAGTCTCCTGTTGAAAGGGCACCTCATGTACGAGTCCATTGACTGAGATTTTCGTTAAGCAGTAACTTTTTGGCTCATCAAAAACTGGGAATTGGTTTGCTTCTTGTTGTTTTAGAAGTATACTGTTGCAGGATTCTAAATGGAGGTATGATTCTCCCTAAGAAAATCTGCTGAGATGCTTTTGATTATCAAGAGTTATTTTAATTAAACTTTAAAGCCCTTTTGACTCTGACTAAATCTTATGTTTTGGTATATATGCATGTGAACTTTGGTTGTGTTGAAAAAGTGTTTTTGCCATCATATTCCATTTGGTTCTCATGGCTGCTGCTAATTACTATGTCAGCTGATTGCATGAGCAGGTCCTCTTACAGTACTGGGTCAGTAACTTATCACCTATAGGAACCGTTCATCTGACAATTCTCAAGAGTCACTTAGGTACCGAATCGGTAACTTTATTGTCTATTGGAACCATTGGATGAGCACTCACATCGCGTAATATTTATCTTGTGATTTTTAAGATCATGATTATGTTTAACCCAGGAGGGCTTAGTCGGATGGTAAAAGCCTATAGTTGGTTTCCACAAAGTTTGAGATTGGAGCCATTGTTGCTCGTTTCTCAAATATTGTAAGGTTGGACGAGTGCTCCAATTTAGAACCCGGGCAAGATACCCAACGATTATCAAGAGTCAGTTGCAGCACCAGCCCTAACCAGTAAACTCAAGAATAAATGGATGACAACCATATTGGTAGATTTTTTAATCCAATTATCAACAAATGTCAAATCAGTAATTCCATGATTGCTAGCTTGACTACAGGAGCAATTAGTTGAATGTGTTAAAAGAACAAAAATAAGGTCAATTTTGGATGCAAAATGAGGCAATTGCTCTCCAGGTTGTCTTGGTTTTTTAAGTCAACTAATTGCTTGTGATTCAACAGTGGCTGGAAGTTCACATGCTCTCTAGTTTCCCGTGGACTATTTTCATCTTATCTAGTATAATACTTTCTGATGTATCAATGCACGATTTCCGCTTTGGTCTTAACCTCTACAGTTTCTTTTTTGGTTTTATAATTTAGTTTGACACTGAAAATTTTTTTTTTTTCTTTGGTCATGAAGGTGTTTAGGTCAGTTCACACGTAACTTAACTAATCTCTCAAGACCGTGAAGTGAACGATTAGGTAAATCCTCTCAATGACTACTCCTATTAATGCCTGGAGGGACTTAAATTCAAGAACTCGTGTTGAACTCCTTTACTCTTTTACCATCCGATCGTGATTGAAAACTAAATGTTACCATCTCCATACATTGGCAAAAACATTTTAATGACACAAAATTAATTGTGATGATATTAAAAACATTTGTCAAATACAAGTTGTGCATATAAACCATCAACAAGTGCATGACTTTTTGGGTAATAAAATATGTAAAATAGTGAAATTGCAACTTTCCCATAAATATAATTAAAAAAAGATTTATATGATTAATCTTTCATTATGGGAAAATCACTTTTGGAGCCCCAATTTTTAACCCCACTCGCTGCATACACCAATCACGGCACGTGTGTCCACACGTGTGGGGCCTGAAGTCAATTTGTTTGGGGGTCCAATTAAAGGCTAATCTAAGAGTACTAGATAAACACACAATTATGGGTAATGAAAAAGCCAAAAAAAAAAAAAAGAAAGTGCTTAAGAAGGTTAGGCTCCTGGAATCGAATCCCATCTTGTGACAGTATCAAAACTATGCGTGCATAAGGAAAGAAACCTAGTTGGGAAAAAAGCACTTTTGAAACTAACTTTTTTTGTTAGTTGATAGAGATGAGAGCTTCTGCCTTCTGGCTTTTAACTTTTCACTTGGTGGGTGCCTTAGATTGTGCTGACTTGTAGTTGTGGTGCCTTAGTTCCTTAAATTATGATCTTCTTGTCTTCTCCAAAGCCGAAAGCTAATGTTATGTGGTTGATGTCTATGGGAAAATAACCCTTTTTAAGACCCATTACTATCAACTTTAAATGCAATCACTTTTGTATTCATTGTTGATATAACCGTTGTTACGTTATTTCTTCAATATTGGGCATGGTCCTACATATTATGTTATTAGTCTAATAATATTATTTAATGTTATGTTATAGCTATGATAATATTACATTACATGCATACTATTTTACCCATAATATTATCATCACATTCTATATATATTACCAAATTGGTAATAGTATCACATAATATGTTATTAGTTCTATAATATTACCATATGTTACATTATCAGTTTAATAATATTATTACATACTATATAATCAATTTGATATTATCCTATACTGATATTCATCGATATAATTGATATTATGTNCCATCTCCATACATTGGCAAAAACATTTTAATGACACAAAATTAATTGTGATGATATTAAAAACATTTGTCAAATACAAGTTGTGCATATAAACCATCAACAAGTGCATGACTTTTTGGGTAATAAAATATGTAAAATAGTGAAATTGCAACTTTCCCATAAATATAATTAAAAAAAGATTTATATGATTAATCTTTCATTATGGGAAAATCACTTTTGGAGCCCCAATTTTTAACCCCACTCGCTGCATACACCAATCACGGCACGTGTGTCCACACGTGTGGGGCCTGAAGTCAATTTGTTTGGGGGTCCAATTAAAGGCTAATCTAAGAGTACTAGATAAACACACAATTATGGGTAATGAAAAAGCCAAAAAAAAAAAAAAGAAAGTGCTTAAGAAGGTTAGGCTCCTGGAATCGAATCCCATCTTGTGACAGTATCAAAACTATGCGTGCATAAGGAAAGAAACCTAGTTGGGAAAAAAGCACTTTTGAAACTAACTTTTTTTGTTAGTTGATAGAGATGAGAGCTTCTGCCTTCTGGCTGTTAACTTTTCACTTGGTGGGTGCGTTAGATTGTGCTGACTTGTAGTTGTGGTGCCTTAGTTCCTTAAATTATGATCTTCTTGTCTTCTCCAAAGCCGAAAGCTGATGTTATGCGGTTG